GAGAGAGAGAGAGAGAGAGAGAGAGAGAGAGAGAGTTCTTCTTCTTCCTCTTCTCAGTCCACCATCTCCCCCTCACCCTCTCGCTACCTGACTTCACTGCATCAGCAGACTCCGAGAGAGCGGGATTGGTGACATTTGGATCCAGACTCGACATTGGGCTTCAGACATTTGACGAGGGATTTTATCTGGGACTTGTACCAAAGACTTGGTGTTGACGACATTCCCATCTTCCCCTCTCTTCTTCGTCTGATCCCCTCCTCTTCGTCTGTGTATGGTCTGGACCTGCCGCATTCTTCTTGTGTGTAGCGCCAGGCCCCTTCACACCTTGTGATGAGGATGATGTATGTTTGGTCTGCATTGCGCCATTGATTGGGCTAGTCATTGGTATTCTAGCATTCCGCTGCGCTGTCTTGTACTACGTGAGAGAGGTCGGTCCCGGTCATGTCAGGGCTTATATCTGAGTCTTCCACTGCGCTACAAGGTGCCATTTTGTATGTATCAGGATGTACATTGCTTGTTGAGATTCCACTAACAACACATTGTCCATTCAGTCCGTTTTATCACATTGCGGATCCTTGGCTATACATACATTGCCCAACTGGGCATGTAACAGTTGGTATCGGAACACCGCACGTGAATCAGGACAACCTGATCTGACACGTGTGCGGGGACTAATTAATTGATTAGTCTTGATTGATTGATTGATTGATTAGAGCACACTAATTAGCCCCCAAAATCGGGATTTCGCCCTGTGTCGATTTCGTTTCGCAATTTCACGTTATTTGGACGTCCGGAATTTTTTTTTTTTTCCGAAATTCATTTTTTTTAAAACGATACGGGAAATACCTCTTGCAGTTACCATTTTCCAAACTGCGGGTACTCTCATCTGCGAGGCCACTGCCTCTATGAGCCCCTTTCGGCCCCTTTCTTGCAGCCCGTTGGCCGCCCTAAGTGAAGGCAGGCTTGACAAGGCCTTCAGGGCCCTATTTTGGTCACTGCACAAGGAAATTCAGGCAGTTGCGCAGCTCCAGTTGGTTGAGAGAACCCAGGCCCTGGGCCGCCAGTGTGAATGTATGGAAAGCAGGCCCTGGGCTGGATACGGGTTCTGGGCCAAACACAGGCCGAAGGCAGTTGGGGCACATGCAACCGCCAGGCCCAAGGCCTGTTTTCAATCGTGCCGGGCCTCAGGCTACCGGGGCCTACTGGAAGCTTCCTGGGACTGAACGCAGGCAGGCCACTTCGATATAGCAAAGGGCCTGCCTCCACATTCGACATTCGGGTGCTGGCTGCATGCTGCGCAAGCGCTGCTGCGCTATTTGCTGGCTGGCGCCTACGCGCTCACGGGCGAGCAGGGAAGGAGCAGGCAGCCATAGCCGAGCTGCGCTGCTGTAAGCTGGGTGTGGCGCAGGGTGGTCCTTGGGTGCAAGTGGCATCTGTGTGTTGGGGAACAAGGTTGTGAGTAAGGCGAGAGACATACCTGGTGCTGGAAGCGTGCGACATTGGTCGTTGTATTGTCGTACTTCGGGAGAGCTGTTGTTGTCAACTTCGGCATTGAAGTATAGGCTAGATAGGATCTGCCACATGTAGTCTGGGCGCCGAGCGCCAGATAGGATATCAACTCTGGTTCTTCGTTGATGATGATGATGGGACTATTTCAGCATTGTCAATTATGAACTCTTGGTGTGTTCTTATTTGGTGAATCTCGTGATGCAATTCTGCTGTTGGTTCGAGGTCACGACTATCTGGACTCATATGTATGATGTTGTTTGATTGCTAAGTTTCGCTATTGCTCATCTTCCTTGCAATTTGGTATCGGAGCTGTGGTACGATTGTGCTCATCTGGCGCTTGTCTTCTGCCTTATGCGGTACGTACATGCGGTCTGCTTGGCGAGTTTGGCCGTAAGTGATGTGTAGTGAGGAGGGCGGAGACGAGTGATAGGCGACCCAGGAGGTGAGGGGATCGCCAGGAAGGCTACGTGGGGGTAATGTGGTCTGGACAGTGTGATGAGAAGTATCTAATGTGCGATTGATGCTGAGGTGGAACGGCGAGATAATGCTGGTTGTGCCGATGCAGTGACTGGTCATCGCAATGGCCATCAGGTCATCTGGTGAGATTATCTCTGTGGTTGGGGGCAGCTATTTGAGGTACGTTGCTCTTAACCTTATCTACCCTCTTCGACACTTCTTACCGTGAGGTTGTGTGTTCCTCCTTGAGAGTCCTCTCATTGTGAGGTGTCGAGCGCGCTCAACCTTGAGAGTCGGCAATGTTCACGTGGAGCATCTGGGAGAAGATGGGCGGAGCTTTCTGAAGGGCCCTGGACGAAGCACTGGGTCACGGTCACCATGCCAACCCACCGGGAGTAGAGCACGCATGCTTTGCTGCTTGTCCTTTGTTTGGCTTGCTGCGCTGTTAGATGGGTACTGAGGGGTAGGCCAACCCTTAAGGGAGACGAGACCTGGTGTCTTTAAATAAGCACCGGAAGGGGGACCATTGGCTGTGATCGTCGTCCGGCTGCGACGTAAAAGAA